GGTGAATGAAGACTGCAGACAGTGTACAAGCTAGGAGCCCAAAGACTGCAAACCTCACTCAAGGAAAAGGATCTCGGGGTGAGTATAATACTGAGCACATCTGAAGCACACATGCTGCAGCAGGTGGTGCTTGGCAAACCTAAGAATAGCATTTCGACACCTGAGTAAGGAATCATTCAAGACTGTACACCGTGTATGTCAGGCCCATATTGGAGTATGCAGCACCATTATGAAACTCATATCGGGTTAAGCACGTCATCAGATTAGAGAAAGTACAAAGGTTTTCAGCAAGACTAGTCCTGGAGCTAAGGGGTATGTCCTACGAGGAGAGGTTAAGGGAAATTTTCCGGATGACACTGGAGGACAGGAGGGATAGGGGTGACATGATAATGACATAAAATATTGAGAGGAATTGACAGGGTGGATAGGGACAGGATGTTTCAGAGATGGGACAGCAACAAGGGGGACAGCTGGAAGTTGAAAACTAAGATGAGTCTCAGGGATGTTAGGAAGTATTCCTTCAGCCATAGAGTTGTCAGGAAGCAGAACAATCTGGAGTGTAATGGAGGCAGGATCATCCTATACATAGTTTTAAGAAGAGATACGGCAAAGCTCATGGAGCCAGGAGAATGGATCTAGTAGCAACCAGTGAAGAGGTAGGGCCAGGAGCTGTGACTTGACCCCTGCAACCACAAATAGGCGATTACAAATAGGTAGGTGAGTATAAACAGTCACTCGATGACGCACTGCCTTTCTTGAATTATCTTGGGTGGCTAACGCTCCGGGGTTAAAAATCTGAACAAAATCTTCATCGTAGGGAGACACTGGTCAGAGAAATAGCAAGCATCGAACTTAAGCTAAAGGAATCTTATAGGAGTCAGGAATCGCGGGAAGAGCTAAAAGCCATAAATGAAATCGAAAGAAACCCGAAGTATTTCTTCTCCTCTGCCAAATCAAAGTCGAGAACAACGTCCAGTATTGGGCCCCTACTTAAACAAGATGGGTACTACACAGATGACAGCAAGGAAATTAGTGAGCTACTCAAGTCCCAATATGACTCAGTTTTTAGCAAGCCGCTAACCAGTCTGAGAGTCGAAGATCAAAATTAATTTTTTATGGGAGAGCCACAGAATTTGGTTAACACAAGCCTATCCGATGTTATCCTGATGCCAAATGACTTCGAACAGGCTATAAATGACATGCCCATGCACTCTGCCCCAGGGCCAGACTCATGGAACTCCGTGTTCATCAAGAACTGCAAGAAGCCCCTATCACGAGCTTTTACCATCCTATGGAGAGGGAGCATGGACACGGGGGTCGTCCCACAGTTACTAAAAACAACAGACATAGCCCCACTCCACAAAGGGGGGCAGTAAAGCAACAGCAAAGAACTACAGACCGATAGCACTAACATCCTATATCATAAAAATCTTTGAAAGGGTCCTAAGAAGCAAGATCACCACCCATCTAGAAACCCATCAGTTACACAACCCAGGGCAACATTGGTTTAGAACAGGTCGCTCCTGTCTGTCTCAACTATTGGATCACTACGACAAGGTCCTAGATGCACTAGAAGACAAAAAGAATGCAGATGTAATATATACAGACTTTGCAAAGGCCTTCGACAAGTGTGACCATGGCGTAATAGCGCACAAAATGCGTGCTAAAGCAATAACAGGAAAAGTCGGTCGATGGATCTATAATTTCCTCACTAACAGAACACAGAGTAGTAGTCAACAGAGTAAAGTCCGAGGCAGCTACGGTGAAAAGCTCTGTTCCACAAGGCACAGTACTCGCTCCCAACTTGTTCCTCATCCTCATATCTGACATAGACAAGGATGTCAGCCACAGCACAGTGTCTTCCTTTGCAGATGACACCCGAATCTGCATGACAGTGTCTTCCATTGCAGACACTGCAAGGCTCCAGGCGGACATCAACCAAATCTTTCAGTGGGCTGCAGAAAACAATATGAAGTTCAACGATGAGAAATTTCAATTACTCAGATATGGTAAACACGAGGAAATTAAATCTTCATCAGAGTACAAAACAAATTCTGGCCACAAAATAGAGCGAAACACCAACGTCAAAGACCTGGGAGTGATCATGTAGGAGGATCTCACCTTCAAGGACCATAACATTGTATCAATCGCATCTGGTAGAAAAATGACAGGATGGATAATGAGAACCTTCAAAACTAGGGAGGCCAAGCCCATGATGACACTCTTCAGGTCACTTGTTCTATCTAGGCTGGAATATTGCTGCACACTAACAGCACCTTTCAAGGCAGGTGAAATTGCTGACCTAGAAAATGTACAGAGAACCTTCACGGCGCGCATAACGGAGATAAAACACCTCAATTACTGGGAGCGCTTGAGGTTCCTAAACCTGTATTCCCTGGAACGCAGGCAGGAGAGATACATGATTATATACACCTGGAAAATCCTAGAGGGACTAGTACCGAACTTGCACACGAAAATCACTCACTACGAAAGCAAAAGACTTGGCAGACGATGCAACATCCCCCAATGAAAAGCAGGGGTGTCACTAGCACGTTAAGAGACCATACAATAAGTGTCAGGGGCCCGAGACTGTTCAGCTGCCTCCCAGCATACATAAGGGGGATTACCAACAGACCCCTGGCAGTCTTCAAGCTGGCACTGGACAAGCACCTGAAGTCGGTTCCTGACCAGCCGGGCTGTGGCTCGTACGTTGGTTTGCGTGCAGCCAGCAGTAACAGCCTGGTTGATCAGGCTCTGATCCACCAGGAGGCCTGGTCACAGACCGGGCCGCGGGGGCGTTGACCCCCGGAACTCTCTCCAGGTAAACTCCAGGTACCTTCTTGGCTGCTATTCAACTCTTCCTCCACAATTGTTATGGGGTGGGTGCCAATGCATTGTCAAAAATTTATATGTACACCCCACGCAGCCAGACGTAAGTTGCCTATATTTTTTTTAATTTCATTCTTGTGAGGTAATTATATGTAAATATAAGTTAAGTACATTAATTTAGCCTAACCAAAAGTAACAAATATTAAAGTTTTCATGAATTTCAGACTTGCAGAAATGCATAAAGGCCAATTTTCATGAAGTGTCTTGTGTGTGTACTTGGCCTCCACTTGTTTACCTTTGTCCTGAACTTGCCTTTACTAATGTCAGAAATTTACTACCATGTCTATGACCTGGAGTATAGGGCACTCTTATCCTTTTTGTTTGACTCATGTTTGCAGATCCAGTACCAGATTGGTGGCTTACTTATGGACTTAACAGTAATTGTTTTTTTGTTATAATTTATTCTTTATTAGTTAAAATTTTACAATACATACAACTTATATACACCTGAACAATACCTAAAGGATGCTTCCTAGAGTCAGTGCCTCCATGGCCTGGTCTTTAACCCTTTGAGGGTCGACAGGCCCTCTCCGAGACTCGTTCTCAGGGTCGGCCAAATTTAAAAAAAAAAATAATTTTGTCTTATGAAAAGATAGAGAATCTTTTCCCGATCATAATGACACCAAAATTATGAAATTTGATGGAAAACTTACGGAATTATGCTCTTGCGAAGTTAGCAGTCTCAGCGATGTTTATGCATCGGCGATTTTGCCCACTTTGAGCCCCATTTTCGGCCAATTCCACTGCACTAGTCGACGAAAAACATGAATATTTCGCTAGAACTCCATTTTTTCTATCGAATGAGTGCAAGAAACCATCCATTTACCAATTTCAACTATCCAGTACAGTGGTCAGAATTTAGCAATTTTGCCAATTTCACACAAATTTCAAAAGATGCCAATTTCCGAATAGGGTCCAGAATAAACAAGAAAGACATTCCTGGCACTAAAATGACATTTCCTTTGTTCATTAGTCACGTCTCAAGGCCCCTCTTACATTCTTTTGCTTTCCACTTTGAATTTTTATTCTCACAAAAAATAGAAGATTTACTGTTATGCAGACTACTGCATTAGTGTAAAAATGGTATAAATAATATTGGCACACTTGCAAAAGAATATTAGACTCACCAGTTGACGTGTATTGGACGCTTGGCATGATTTGTTTACTTTTGAACTTTGGTAAAAATCAAACATTTCTGCTACTTTGAGCTCAATTTCAAGGTACTTTTCATTGTACAACCAGTCAAAATCATCTCAATTTCTGTAATATGTCTTCCATTCTATAAAATGAGACCACGAAAACTAGAATACAACAATAAATACCATACGAAAATACAGTGCAAAGTTGCTGTTTTATTCCAAAAAAATGGTCAGTTTTTTTTTTCTCATTATGCACTGTGTGCTGCAGGATTTTTTTTATCCTGTGCACACTGACCACATAGACCCATTCTTTCATATGTAGGCCTACCAGCTTTCTCCCACTAGATTTGAGGGCGCTAGAATTTAGGCGTACTAGTACGTCAAAAACACTGGGTCGTAAGCCGTACTAGTACGGCCGAAACCCTCAAAGGGTTAACCAGGCTTCCCAGTGGATCAAGGCCTGATCAAAAAGGCTGTTAGCTAGGGGTACTTGCCTTGAGGCTACACTTTTATTATTTTTATGTGGGGAAGTGGGAATTATGAGGACTTCAGCCCACCCTTGCTGTTGCCACTGAGTAGAGTGCTTGCCTTTATCCAGGTACACAAGTTTATTTCCTTCCCATGAAATACTGCAATTGGAATAATTTCTAGAGCACCTAAATTCATTAACTTGCACTCTCTAGAGAAGAATTTACTAACCGTTCTGTTTATCATTCTTGGGTCTCTCTCATATTTGCCCGCATGGTTCAGCGATTAATAGAATTTCTATGATTTATCATTGTACTGTATTACGGTAAAGTATTGAGTATATTTTGATTTAGAAATTTTCTTGAACACAAATGTAAATTTTCTGTTATGTACCACAGTATATTGAATGTGTTATTGTTCATATCAGTTCTAAATATTTTCAGTAAATACTTATATACAGTAAAGAGTGTTGTGAAAATTAATATGTTCATACATTGTTTGCAGGTGACACATGACCACAATGAACTGAAGCAAGAAGAACAGAACATTATCTGTGGTGCACTGGAACTGCACAAGAAAACAGTTGGCGAGGTTATGACTAAACTTGACGATGTATATATGCTCAGCATTGACACTATTCTCGATTTTAATACCATTAATGAAATAATGCAGCAAGGTAAATTATTTTCTTTGTCATTATCTGTCTGTAGCTTGTAATGTTTTCCTGCCTTTTTTTTTTTTATAATAGTTTAGTTTTTTTTTATTTTCAGGCTGGTTTTTCCTCACTTTTTTCATTATTTATAGATTTTGTTTTTTAATATATTGCAATGTTTTTATTTTGTTTACTGCTCTGATAGATCTTAATTGATTGATATTTGTATGTACTTGTAGCCTTCCTCTTTCTCTGTATACCTGGCTAATACACAGATCCTTATGTTTTATCTTAATAAGTTTTAATCCTAGCAGTCTTATCATATTATTAGTGTATCTTCCAATTCCCATACAGTATATCCTGCTACATGCTCTATATTCTTAAAATTCATTAGGCATTTTGGAATCTTCCTGATCTGTCATACTTCCACTTTATCTATTTTTGGTCTTAAATGGTTGTGATCTTTCTAACCCTCACCATTATTTTGTAATAGTTAAGAAATGCTTAATGAAACAAATTCTGCTATTTTATAGTAGCTTTGAATGATAAGATAATCAAGTTTAAGGCCATGCTTTAAAATTATTAGATTAAAAAAACATTTGAAAGAAAAGATTAAACATTGTAAATAAATTGGTTAGTATATACTATATATGTGCCTCAGAATGTGTAGAGTAAATACTAAATTTTGATTAAATCTCTCAACTTTTGTTGAGGTCACACATTATATAACAAACAAATGGTGAACTTTATGAACTCCAGGTTATATACAATTGCAACATGTAAAAAAATTGTCATTAATATTGGTGTAATTCATAGTGAATTTTTTTCTTAGTTTTGTACTACTGAAGGACAACCAGGTTGGATTAATAGTAGAAATTTAACTAACCAACCATTTTTCACATTCCAGTTAACTTTTTTTAAACAGTCAACCTTGTATTCAACATGAGACGTCATATTATTAGTGAAATAAAAAGAGTTAAAGGAGATACTGTATTGAATTTACATTCAGCTGTAGTTTTGAATTCATTAATTACTGTATTTGAATTTTTTTTAGTAGAAATTTGGGTAAAACATTTAAACATTAGAAGCTAAACTGTTCTGTTAGATCATAAATATATACCACACACAACTACTGTATCCATCTGATCTTTTTCCTTTACCGAAAACTAATATGTTTTTCTTCATTTTAGGTTATTCACGTGTGCCTGTGTATGAGGGGGAACGTACAAATATAATAGCAGTCTTGTTCATTAAGGACTTAGCCTTTATTGACCCTGATGATAATACACCCCTGAAGACACTAAGTCAGTTCTACCAAAACCCATGCAACTTTGTTTTTGTGGATACAACACTGGATGTCATGTTTAAGGAATTCAAAGAAGGTAGGATATGATTTTTTTGTCATGTACAATAGGATATACATGTATAATTTTTGGAGGAACATTGCATTGTAATATCTTGTCATCTTGAACATATAGTAGAGTCATGCATTTTTCATTCACATGAAGACTAAAAGTCACACTACTATGGATGGAATAAATTACAGATATAATTTAGACAATGTTTGGGTCTGTCCTGAATCATTGTTAAGCATCAGCTTGATAATGGAATGAGGTATCACCTACATTTTGTTATCAGTTTGTTGGTTAATTATTTATCCAGTATATTTAGCTCATGCAAGAAGTTTGCAGTGTGAGAGCTACGGCTAGATTAATCTACAGAATGTATGTACGAGGAATGATGGATGGAAAAATAAATGTGCCAAGCTGTAATGCTAGAAGTGAAGAGGATATAGAAGTGTAGGTGTAAAATTATTTTTGAAAAGTAGTAATATGAAGTCTGTTAAATTATCAAGATATTTTGTAATTGATAATACAGTAAGTGCAAATATTAGGAAGATATGTACTGTATATTTTTATTATATTCATGAGGAAACACTAAATCTACAGGGGTCATACACCTGAGGACTGGCAAGTAATCAGGTTTGAGTCAATGAAGATTACTTTAATCCCCTTAAAAAGGGGTGAGGGCATGTACACTATAGTACTTTAACATACAGGTTGATCATCACTAATCCGGCACCATCGGGACCTGTAGGGTGCCAGATTAGTGATTTTGCTGGATTACAGAGTGGTTAAGTTAGAATACACTTAACCTAATGGCAGTATTTACGCATCAGTGATTTCACCCACTTTACGCCCTATTTTTGGCCCATTCCATTGTTCCAGTCTACCAGACTCATAGCTATTTTGCTAGTATTCCTTCTATTCTGTCGATTGAGTATAACAAACTGCCCATTTACCTGTTTCAACTACCCAATAAAGTGGTCAGAAATTGGTACTTAGAACAATTTCACACAAATTTCAAGAGATGTCAGTTTCAAAAAGTGTCCAGAATAAACACTGCAGACATTCCTGGCACTAAAATAACATTTTCTTTGTTCATTAGTCACGGCTACAGGCCCCTCTTATATTACACTTGCTTTTCATTTTAAATTTTTATTCACACAAAAAATAGAAGATTTACTGTTATGTAGACTACTGCATTATTGTAATAATTGTATAAATAATGTCAACACATTCATGACTGCATATTAGACTTGCCAGTTGGACACGTATTGTTTACTCTTGAACATCAGCAAAAATCAAACATTTCCGCTACTTTGAGCTCAGTTTCAAGGCACTTTCCATTATGAAACCAATCGAAATCATATATGTTTCTGTAATATATCTTCCATTCTATCAAATGAGACCAAAAAATGAGAATACAACCATAAAAACCATACGAAAATACACCACAAAGTCAGTTTTACACTGAAAACACGGTCGCAATTTTTTTTCTCGTGCACTGCATGCTGCAGGTTTTTTTTATATAGTGCACACTTACTACACAGACTTATCCTCTCATATGTAGGCCAAAATTTACCAGTCACAGCTTATATGAGTGAGATGAGCTCATGGCGACCTACAGTGGCTTCAAAGCCACTTTATCTTTTATGGACAGTGTATGGTGTTTGTGCTTTACACAATAAGAAGCATTTCTTTTATGTATTTATTGGAACCATGGCTAGGGCTAAAAGTGAGCAGGTTATTACAATAAATGGAAAAAAAGAAATTGGAATGACTTGTGCAGCAAGTAGTGCCACCAAACAATAGCAGCAGGTTGGTGTGGCAACCCCAGAAATTTGAAATGCTTGCCAAAATTAGTACTGAATTACTGATGGAACCGGATTACTGATTGCCAGATTAGTGATGGCTAACCTATACTTATCTTTTCCTAAATCATGAATTTCCAGGAATAATGTTGATTTTCTTCCTGTAGGTGCAAAGGGTCATATGGCTTTTGTTCATAAAGTGAACAATGAAGGCGACTGTGACCCCTTCTATGAGGTGTTGGGCCTTGTTACCCTAGAAGACGTCATTGAAGAACTTATTCAGGAAGAAATCGTTGATGAAACTGATGTATTCAGTAAGTTTTACACACTGAAGTTATCTCTTACTGTCTTTTTAATATTACAGTAAAATAGGGAAAATATAATGCTAGGCTAGAACATTCAGTGATCTGTAATACAATACTTTCAACCCCCAAGCTGAGCATCAACTTGGTACAGTACATGACTTTGTTATGATATTATTTTTCATATCAATACGGCTGCAGCAACATATCATTATCTGTACACATTCCAGAGTTCATTAGTAATAAGGGTTTTCTTTTTTCCCTTGTGATTAAAATGTTTCAACTATTGTTTTTCCTTCAAAATTTATTTGTTGATTTTACCATTTATTTTGGATTACTTATGAAAGAATTTTTGCCTACCAGTTATTGTGTACTGTATTTTTTGTTCATTGATTATATTCTGACTGCTGAGAATTGAATCTACAGTACATAAGGAGCCCTTGCATTTTACTGATCTATATTGTGCTGTTTTTAATTTGATCCATGATTCATATGTTCATTACACTGCAGTAGGTTCATTTTGCAAATAGGTAGGTGAGAAAGCTAAAAGATTGTAGCTAGTGGGTGAGAGAACAGGCAGATGAGTGACTGAGTGGGCTTGAGAGTGAGCAAGAATTCTACCACCCCTTCTTGAGGAACCAAGAGGGGTGGTAAGCTAGGGGGGACTGGGTATAGGACTTATCAGTGAGTGGTTGAGAAGGTTAATGAGTGGGGAAGAGGGACAGCTGGTAGCAAGCAGGTGAAAGGGCTAATGAGAGATCATGTGATACAGTAAGTGGGCTAGTTTGCATGAGGCCTAGAAAGTGGGTTGACTAGCTGGTGGGCGAGAGGGGCTGGTGAGAGGGCTAAATGATGGTTGAATGGGCTAGATGAGGGGTGAGATGGCTGATGGGCAAAATAAGTAGCTAGTATGTGAAAGGTCAGGCTGGGGAAAGAATGGAATAAAGATTAGCATGTTATGGGGCAGGAATCATGGCAAGAAGGCTGGCTAGTTAGCAGACAAGAGTGCAGGCTTATAAGAGGGTGAAATGAGGAGAGGGAGAGGTAATAAGAGGACAGGCTTTTGTTCAAACAAGATGGAGCTCTGATGAAACAGCAGGCTATAAAGTAGACAAGAGGGTATGCAAGAAAATGAGCAGGGTAGGCAAGTTAACAACAAAACTTGTTAGAAGAGTGGTTGAGATGGCAGGCTGGCAGGACTGTGAGTTAGTGAGGTGGGTGGAAAAGCAAGAGTGTGGGCGACTTAATGGGCAGGCGAGTAAGGAGGGGGAGCAACTAGTGAGTGAGTGGGTTGGTGGGCTGGCAGTGAGGTGGTAATGTGGTGAAGGAACAGGCAGGTTAGTGAATGGGTGGGAGAGTTGTGAAAAGTTTCACAGATGAACAGGGAAGAGAGAATGGGCAAACTAATAGGAATACTGTCAAGAGAGGGTTGGGGTAGAGGCAAATTGGTGAGCAAGAGGTGACAAGCTGGCAGGAGGAGGGTTCTACTCTGTTATTTCTACCAGATTTTAATGAAATCCTTTAACTATGTCTGACAAAAAATCTAGGACAGGGGCAGCTTATTGTAATACAGTTATTTTTTTTTTTTATTATCACACTGGCCGATTCCCACCAAGGCAGGGTGGCCCGAAAAAGAAAAACTTTCACCATCATTCACTCCATCACTGTCTTGCCAGAAGGGTGCTTTACACTACAGTTTTTAAACTGCAACATTAACACCCCTCCTTCAGAGTGCAGGCACTGTACTTCCCATCTCCAGGACTCAAGTCTGGCCTGCCGGTTTCCCTGAATCCCTTCATAAATGTTACTTTGCTCACACTCCAACAGCACGTCAAGTATTAAAAACCATTTGTCTCCATTCACTCCTATCAAACACGCTCACGCATGCCTGCTGGAAGTCCAAGCCCCTCGCACACAAAACCTCCTTTACCCCCTCCCTCCAACCCTTCCTAGGCCGACCCCTACCCCGCCTTCCTTCCACTATAGACTGATACACTCTTGAAGTCATTCTGTTTCGCTCCATTCTCTCTACATGTCCGAACCACCTCAACAACCCTTCCTCAGCCCTCTGGACAACAGTTTTGGTAATCCCGCACCTCCTCCTAACTTCCAAACTACGAATTCTCTGCATTATATTCACACCACACATTGCCCTCAGACATGACATCTCCACTGCCTCCAGCCTTCTCCTCGCTGCAACATTCATCACCCACGCTTCACACCCATATAAGAGCGTTGGTAAAACTATACTCTCATACATTCCCCTCTTTGCCTCCAAGGACAAAGTTCTTTGTCTCCACAGACTCCTAAGTGCACCACTCACTCTTTTTCCCTCATCAATTCTATGATTCACCTCATCTTTCATAGACCCATCCGTTGACACGTCCACTCCCAAATATCTGAATACGTTCACCTCCTCCATACTCTCTCCCTCCAATCTGATATTCAATCTTTCATCACCTAATCTTTTTGTTATCCTCATAACCTTACTCTTTCCTGTATTCACCTTTAATTTTCTTCTTTTGCACACCCTACCAAATTCATCCACCAATCTCTGCAGCTTCTCTTCAGAATCTCCCAAGAGCACAGTGTCATCAGCAAAGAGCAGCTGTGACAACTCCCACTTTGTGTGTGATTCTTTATCTTTTAACTCCACGCCTCTTGCCAAGACCCTCGCATTTACTTCTCTTACAACCCCATCTATAAATATATTAAACAACCACGGTGACATCACACATCCTTGTCTAAGGCCTACTTTTACTGGGAAAAAATTTCCCTCTTTCCTACATACTCTAACTTGAGCCTCACTATCCTCGTAAAAACTCTTCACTGCTTTCAGTAACCTACCTCCTACACCATACACTTGCAACATCTGCCACATTGCCCCCCTATCCACCCTGTCATACGCCTTTTCCAAATCCATAAATGCCACAAAGACCTCTTTAGCCTTATCTAAATACTGTTCACTTATATGTTTCACTGTAAACACCTGGTCCACACACCCCCTACCTTTCCTAAAGCCTCCTTGTTCATCTGCTATCCTATTCTCCGTCTTACTCTTAATTCTTTCAATTATAACTCTACCATACACTTTACCAGGTACACTCAACAGACTTATCCCCCTATAATTTTTTTGCATTCTCTTTTATCCCCTTTGCCTTTATACAAAGGAACTATGCATGCTCTCTGCCAATCCCTAGGTACCTTACCCTCTTCCATACATTTATTAAATAATTGCACCAACCACTCCAAAACTATATCCCCACCTGCTTTTAACATTTCTATCTTTATCCCATCAATCCCGGCTGCCTTACCCCCTTTCATTTTACCTACTGCCTCACGAACTTCCCCCACACTCACAACTGGCTCTTCCTCACTCCTACAAGATGTTATTCCTCCTTGCCCTATACACGAAATCACAGCTTCCCTATCTTCATCAACATTTAACAATTCCTCAAAATAGTCCCTCCATCTTCCCAATACCTCTAACTCTCCATTTAATAACTCTTTAATACATTATAGGAGAAAGGGACAAATAAACTGCAAGATACATTGGGTGATAAAATTAAGGTGTTCCATGGCTTGGTTGGTAGCATCCTCAACTCATATTCTGAGGGCCCATAGTTCGATCCCTATCATGGGTGGGTATGATGGGCATGTTTCCTTGCATTTTTTGCCCCTGTTCACTGATCAGTTAATATACCTTAGACAGGGCTTGGCTTTGAAATGAGCTGAGGTAAGATAACAGCTCTTAGCTTAAAAATATAACTGTGTCAAAAATAGGATGAAAAGAAGAGTGTGAGCTGACTCTTAGGATTATAATTACCTTACATCACTTATGCATTTTATTTGTAATCATCTCACATCACTTAACTTTTATATGAGCACTCCGTTGTCCCTTAGGTTAGTTACTACTTGTTGACAGGATTTTAGTAAGAAAGTTGCAGAAATAACAGGGAGCATTTTTGTCTTAATTGCTTATTTACTTGCTTGCTTCCATGCTTATTTTTTCCATCTTGCTTGCCAGCTAGGATTATTTCTTCATTAAAAATAAAAATGGCTTTTTAAGGTCTCCTTCAAGCATTATCCTAATTTATATCATTAGGTCAGTGGAAGTAGAATAACATGCTCTGCAGTACAGTACTACAGTGATTTATGTTTCATATTTTTTAAGTAATTAGAGGTAGTAATAAACAGTACTATTACATGAGATACATCCAGGGAGGTACTACTGTCCTGTTATGTGAGTGTGAAGCATACACTGGCAGTATTGCTGGTCTTTTATTTCTTCTCATGAACATGCAAGATGACAGGCAAGTCTTATAAATTTCTACTTACGTTGACTCATATGTGTACTTCATTTGTGTTCTAATAGAGTAAGTATATAGCTCTTATTCATTTAATATTTCTTCTCTAATTTAGGAGGCTTGGTCTGAGACTTAATGATGAGTGGTGTTTACGAGGCTTATAGACACATCAAAATAAAGTCAAATCAAATTTTATTTCCAAGAATTACAGGATGTTAATTCAGCTGTGGGATTACATCTTTTTTGTATATTCTAAGTAAAACCCCCATTTTATGCAAATTATTTCACACATTCTAAAACTAGTATTTACAAGCTACAGCACTTGAAGTTGCCTCCCTTGAAGTACTCTTCTTGGGAGGCTATCCCAGTGCCTCTGCCATTTTTTGAAATATTTCTGGAACTCTTTCTTTCCTAATGGTGTGTAGTGAGGCCTGCTGTTGTGCTTGAATCTTCTCCCTGTCATTAAAACACTACTCCTTGAATGCCATTTTTAATTTTGGGAAGAGAAAGAAATCACAGGGGTTAGATCTGGGAAGTAGTGAGGGTGGGGGACGACCGCCATGTTTTTTTTTAAGTATTGGTGTCTGGTTTTGACATTGATGGATGACCAGAGCATTCATCATTCACACCTGACATTCATCCTGCTTTGAATCAAGAAAACCATTCAAAACACTATGCCTGACCCATTGCTTCATTGCCAAATGCTTGCTGAAGCATTTTGAGAGTTTAACTAGCTGTTTGACTGAGCTTGAAACAGAATTTCATACACATGCTGTTCTTTCAAAGATTCCATTCTCTTACACAAAAAATGCATGTTCAACACACCATCTGCACTGCACTTTAAAAAGGAGTGTGCTGCACAGCGTGATCTATGCCACTGCTATATTTCACTCAGGAACCACATGAAAATTGCATAGGTATTTAGCTAAGGATTATAACATAGACTGGTAATTTTAGTTTTGTGTGATAATTCAGTATAAATAATTTCTATACATAGCAGGAGCAAGGGGCTAGTAACCCCTTCTCCTGTATACATTTCTAAATTTAAAAAGAGAAACTTTTGTTTTGGTGGGAAATGACTGGTTTGTTGAAAAAAAGAAAGTGGTTTAGATCACAGTGGGGAGGTAGCAAGTGGATAAGTTTACTATTACATAATACAATTGACACAGTGTTTATGATCATTACATATTGAATATTATATAAATTTTAAGTGATATTGTTGACAGTGCTTTTGAAGCTATTGGGAGATAGAGTTTTTTCTAACCAGTTAGGAATGTAAAACAATAATGCCCTTGACAAGTATTATGTTGATATTTTGGCATCTGTGTTCCCAAGGAAAATTAATGGTGATGTGCTAAAGAGAGTGCAGAAAGAATGGTGTTTGCTAAAAATTCAATGTTTTATTATTTCCTGCAGCTGACAATCGCTCCAGACGCCGTCGTCTGCACATTTGTCGACCAGACTTTACAGAGTTCTCCAACCTAAACAACCAGACAAATCAAAAACGTGTACAAATTTCTCCTCAGATGCAGGTGGCAGCTTTGCAGTATCTTCGCACATGTAGGTCATGTATTTTATTCATTTATAAATAATGTACAGTATACAAAAAACAGAGAGTATGGTTATGACATGGACTATGAGATGTGATTATTGTTTGCATTGAGCACTGAATATCCTTTGAGGCCTCTCTAAATTCCATACCTTCCTTCCATATATATAGAAATGTTAAAGTAATACAATTGGCTACAAGTTTTTGAATGTCTTGGTATAACCAAAGAAGTGTAATGTAAACCATGTATCATAGCTGCTCATTGATATCTAATAATAATTTCTGTATTTCAGCTCTTGAGCCATTCAAGGAAGGTCAATTATCAGAAATGATTGTTAAAAAGCTGCTAAATCAAGATGTTATCCACAGCATTAAGCTGCGCAACAAGGAGCATTCCAAAACTGATCAGCATACCTTTATATACACACAGGTGTGTAGCAGTCTTCCTTTTACCATTAATTTGTTAATAAAAATTCAGTAACTTTTTTAACAAGTTGGCCGTCTCCCACCGAGGCAGGGTGACCCAAAAAGAAAGAAAATCCCCAAAAATACTTTCATCATCATTCAACTCTTTCACCTCACTCACACATAATCACTGTTTTTGCAGAGGTGTTCAGAACACAACAGCTTAGAAGCATATATGTATAAAGATACACAACATATCCCTCCAAACTGCCAATATCCCGAACCCCTCCTTTAGAGTGCAGGCATTGTACTTCCCATTTCCAAGACTCAAGTCCGGCTATATAAAAATAACCAGTTTCCCTGAATCCCTTCACTAAATATTACCCTGCTCACACTCCAACAAATCGTCAGGTCCCAAATACCATTCGTCTCCATTCACTCCTATCGAACACGCTAACGCAGGCCTGCTGGAAGTCCAAGTCCCTCGCCCACAAAACCTCCCTTACCCCTTCCTTCCAACCTTTTTGAGGACGACCCCTACCCCGCCTTCCTTACCCTATAGATTTAAATGCTCTCCATGTCATTCTACTTTGATCCATTCTCTCTAAATGACCAAACCACCTCAACAACCCCTCTTCAGCCCTCTGACTAATACTTTTATTATCTCCACACCTTCTCCTAATTTCCACACTCCGAATTTTCTGCATAATATTTACGCCACACATTGCCCTTAGACAGGACATCTCCACTGCCTCCAACTGCCTCCTCACTGCTGCATTCACAGCCCAAGCTTCACACCCATATAAGTGTTGGTACTACTGTACTTTCATACATTCCCTTCTTTGCCTCCATAGATAATGTTTTTTGTCTCCACATATACCTCAACGCACCACTCACCTTTTTTCCCTCATCAATTCTATGATTAACCTCATCCTTCATAAATCCATCTGCTGACATGTCAACTCCCAAGTATCTGAAAACATTCACTTCTTCCATATTCCTCCTCCCCAATTTGATATCCAGTTTTTCTTTATCTAAATCATTTGATACCCTCATCACCTTACTCTTTTCTATGTTCACTTTCAACTTTCTACCTTTACACACACTCCCAAACTTGTCCACTAACCTTTGCAATTTATCTTTAGAATCTCCCATAAGCACAGTATCATCAGCAAAAAGCAACTGTGTCAATTCCCATTTCGTATTTGATTTCCCATAATTTTATCTCACCCCTCTCCCGAACACCCTAGCATTTACTTCTTTTACAACCCCATCTATAAATATATTAAACAACCATGGTGACATTACACATCCCTGTCTAAGACCTACTTTCACCGGGAAGTAGTCTCCCTCTCTTCTACACACCCTAACCTGAGCCTCACTATCCTCATAAAAACTCTTTACAGCATTTAGTAACTTACCACCTATTCCATATACAGTGGACACCCGCATAATGTTGGCATCGCATAGTGTTAAATCCGCATAGCGATACATTTTATCGCTAAAATTTTTCCTCACATAGTGCTAAAAAATTCGCTCAACGCGATTCGTCCGAAACACATCCATGCGGCCTGAGCCAGCCTCACTTGTTCTGCCAGTGGCATTGTTTACAAGCCACTGCATACTATCGGAACATTTCGTATTATTACAGCCTTTTTATAGTGATTTCACCTGAAAAATAAGTGACCATGGGTCCCAAGAAAGCTTCTAGTGCCAACCCTACAGAAATAAGGGTGAGAATTACTATGGAGATGAAGAAAGAGATCATTGCTAAGTATGAAAGTGTAGTGCGTGTCTCCGAGCTGGCCAGGTTGTATAGTAAACCCCAGTCAACCATCGTTTCTATTGTGTCCAAGAGAACGGCAATCAAGGAAGCTGTTCTTGCCAAAGGTTTAACTGTGCTTTCGAAACAGAGATCGCAAGTGATAGAAGATGCTGAGAGACTGTTATTGGTGTGGATAAACGAAAAACAGATAGCAGGCGATAGCATCTCTCAAGCGATCATAAATGAAAAGGCTAGGAAGTTGCACGAGGATTTAATTAGAAAAATGCCTGCAACTAGTGGTGGTGCGAGTGAATTTAAGGCCAGCAAAGGTTGGTTTGAGAGATTTAAGAGGCGTAGTGGCATACATAGTGTGATAAGGCATGGTGAGGCTGCCAGTTCGAACCAAAAAGCAGCTGAAAAATATGTGCATGAATTCAAGGAGTACATAGACAGTGAAGGACTGAAACCTGAACAAGTGTTTAATTGTGACGAAACAGGCCTGTTTTGGAAGAAAATGCCAAGCAGGACCTACATTACTCAGGAGGAAAAGGCACTCCCAGGACATTTTTTTTTTTTTTTATTTTTTTATTATCACACCGGCCGATTCCCACCAAGGCAGGGTGGCCCGAAAAAGAAAAACTTTCACCATCATTCACTCCATCACTGTCTTGCCAGAAGGGTGCTTTACACTACAGTTTTTAAACTGCAACATTAACACTCCTCCTTCAGAGTGCAGGCACTGTACTTCCCATCTCCAGGACTCAAGTCCGGCCTGCCGGTTTCCCTGAATCCCTTCATAAATGTTACTTTGCTCACACTCCAACAGCACGTCAAGTATTAAAAACCATTTGTCTCCATTCACTCCTATCAAACACGCTCACGCATGCCTGCTGGAAGTCCAAGCCCCTCGCACACAAAACCTCCTTTACCCCCTCCCTCCAACCCTTCCTAGGCCGACCCCTACCCCGCCTTCCTTCCACTACAGACTGATACACTCTTGAAGTCATTCTGTTTCGCTCCATTCTCTCTACATGTCCGAACCACCTCAACAACCCTTCCTCAGCCCTCTGGACAACAGTTTTGGTAATCCCGCACCTCCTCCTAACTTCCAAACTACGAATTCTCTGCATTATATTCACACCACACATTGCCCTCAGACATGACATCTCCACTGCCTCCAGCCTTCTCCTCGCTGCAACATTCATCACCCACGCTTCACACCCATATAAGAGCGTTGGTAAAACTATACTCTCATACATTCCCCTCTTTGCCTCCAAGGACAAAGTTCTTTGTTTCCACAGACTCCTAAGTGCACCACTCACTCTTTTTCCCTCATCAATTCTATGATTCACCTCATCTTTCATAGACCCATCCGCTGACACGTCCACTCCCAAATATCTGAATACGTTCACCTCCTCCATACTCTCTCCCTCCAATCTGATATTCAATCTTTCATCACCTAATCTTTTTGTTATCCTCATAACCTTACTCTTTCCTGTATTCACCTTTAATTTTCTTCTTTTGCACACCCTACCAAATTCATCCACCAATCTCTGCAACTTCTCTTCAGAATCTCCCAAGAGCACAGTGTCATCAGCAAAGAGCAGCTGTGACAACTCCCACTTTGTGTGTGATTCTTTATCTTTTAACTCCACGCCTCTTGCCAAAACCCTCGCATTTACTTCTCTTACAACCCCATCTATAAATATATTAAACAACCACGGTGACATCACACATCCTTGTCTAAGGCCTACTTTTACTGGGAAAAAATTTCCCTCTTTCCTACATACTCTAACTTGAGCCTCACTATCCTCGTAAAAACTCTTCACTGCTTTCAGTAACCTACCTCCTACACCATACACTTGCAACATCTGCCACATTGCCCCCCTATCCACCCTGTCATACGCCTTTTCCAAATCCATAAATGCCACAAAGACCTCTTTAGCCTTATCTAAATACTGTTCACTTATATGTTTCACTGTAAACACCTGGTCCACACACCCCCTACCTTTCCTAAAGCCTCCTTGTTCATCTGCTATCCTATTCTCCGTCTTACTCTTAATTCTTTCAATTATAACTCTACCATACACTTTACCAGGTACACTCAACAGACTTATCCCCCTATAATTTTTGCACTCTCTTTTATCCCCTTTGCCTTTATACAAAGGAACTATGCATGCTCTCTGCCAATCCCTAGGTACCTTACCCTCTTCCATACATTTATTAAATAATTGCACCAACCACTCCAAAACTATATCCCCACCTGCTTTTAACATTTCTATCTTTATCCCATCAATCCCGGCTGCCTTACCCCCTTTCATTTTACCTACTGCCTCACGAACTTCCCCCACACTCACAACTGGCTCTTCCTCACTCCTACAAGATGTTATTCCTCCTTGCCCTATACACGAAATCACAGCTTCCCTATCTTCATCAACATTTAACAATTCCTCAAAATATTCCTTCCATTCTCCAATACCTCTAACTCTCCATTTAATAACTCTCCTCTCCTATTTTTAACTGACAAATCCATTTGTTCTCTAGGCTTTCTTAACTTGTTTAATCTCACTCCAAAACTTTTTCTTATTTTCAACAAAATTTGTTGATAACATCTCACCCACTCTCTCATTTGCTCTCTTTTTACATTGCTTCACCACTCTCTTAACTTCTCTCTTTTTCTCCATATACTCTTCCCTCCTTGCATCACTTCTACTTTGTAAAAACTTCTCATATGCTAACTTTTTCTCCCTTACTACTCTCTTTACATCATCATTCCACCAATCGCTCCTCTTCCCTCCTGCACCCACTTTCCTGTAACCACAAACTTCTGCTGAACACTCTAAACACTACATTTTTAAACCTACCCCATACCTCTTCGACCCCATTGCCTATGCTCTCATTAGCCCATCTATCCTCCAATAGCTGTTTATATCTTACCCTAACTGCCTCTTTTAGTTTATAAACCTTCACCTCTCTCTTCCTGATGCTTCTATTCTCCTTATATCCCATCTACCTTTTACTCTCAGTATAGCTACAACTAGAAAGTGATCTGATATATCTGTGGCCCCTCTATAAACATGTACATCCTGAAGTCTACTCAACAGTCTTTTATCTACCAATACATAATCCAACAAACTACTGTCATTTCGCCCTACATCATATCGTGTATACTTATTTATCCTCTTTTTCTTAAAATATGTATTACCTATAACTAAACCCCTTTCTATACAAAGTTCAATCAAAGGGCTCCCATTATCATTTTACACCTGGCACCCCAAACTTACCTACCACACCCTCTCTAAAAGTTTCTCCTACTTTAGCATTCAAGTCCCCTACCACAATTACTCTCTCACTTGGTTCAAAGGCTCCTATACATTCACTTAACATCTCCCAAAATCTCTCTCTCTCCTCTGCATTCCTCTTCTCCAGGTGCATACACGCTTATTATGACCCACTTCTCGCATCCAACTTTACTTTAATCCACATAATTCTTGAATTTACACATTCATATTCTCTTTTCTCTTCCATAACTGATCATTTAACATTACTGCTACCCCTTCCTTTGCTCTAACTCTCTCAGATACTCCAGATTTAATCCCATTTATTTCCCCCCACTGAAACTCTCCTACCCCCTTCAGCTTTGTTTCGCTTAGGGCCAGGACATCCAACTTCTTTTCATTCATAACATCAGCAATCATCTGTTTCTTGTCATCCGCACTAACATCCACGCACATTTAAGCAACCCAGTTTTATAAAGTTTTTCTTCTTCTCTTTTTAGTAATTGTATACAGGAGAAGGGGTTACTAGCCCATTGCTCCCGGCATTTTAGTCGCCTCATACGACACGCATGGCTTACGGAGGAAAGATTCTTTTCCACTTCCCCATGGACAATAGAAGAAATAAAAAAGAACAAGAGCTATTTAGAAAAAAGAGAAAAACCTAGATGTATGTATATATATATATGCATGTGCGTGTCTGTGAAGTGTGACCAAAGTGTAAGTAGGAGTAGCAAGATATCCCTGTTATCTTAGCATGTTTATGAGACAGAAAAAGAAAACCAGCAATCCTACCATCATGCAAAACAGTTACAGGTTTTTGTTTCACAGTCATCTGGCAGGACGGTAGTACTTCCCTGGGTGGTTGCTGTCTACCAACCTACATAAGGACATAAGCCTATGAAAGACAGGCTTACTCTTCTCATGTGTGCCAATGCTAGTGGTGATTGCAAAGTGAAGCCTTTATTAGTGTATCACTCTGAAACTCCCAGAGCGTTCAGGCAAAAGAATGTCCTCAAGGATAATTTGTGTGTGCTGTTGAGGGCAAACAGTAAGGCATGGGTCACTAGGGAATTTTTCTATAACTGGTTACACCATGCATTTGCCCCCAATGTGAAAAATTACCTAACTGAAAAGAAATTAGAACTTAAGTGCCTCCTGGTGTTAGACAATGCCCCTGGTCATCCTACAGACGTGGCAGAGCGACTTTATGGGGACATGAGCTTCATTAAGGTGAAGTTTTGCCTCCTAATACCACTCCTCTCCTGCAGCCCATGGACCAGCAGGTTATTTCCAACTTCAAGAAACTGTACACAAAAGCTCTGTTGAAAGGTGCTTTGTAGTGACCTCAGAAACTCAACTGACTCTAAGAGAGTTTTGGAGAGATCACTTTAATATCCTCAATTGTGTAAACCTTATAGGTAAGGCTTGGGAGGAAGTGACAAAGAGGACCTTGAACTCTGCTTGGAAGAAACTGTGGCCAGAATGTGTAGACAAAAGGGATTTTGAAGGGTTTGAGGCTAACCCTGAGAATCCTGTGCCAGTTGAGGAATCCATTGTGGCATTGGGAAAGTCCTTGGGGTTGGAGGTTAGTGGGGAGGATGTGGAAGAGTTGGTGGAGGAGGACAATGAAGAACTAACCACTGATGAGCTGATAGATCAACTTCAAGAGCAAGAGGCCAGACCTGAGGAAACTGGTTCAGAGGAGGGGAGAGAGAAATTGAAGAAGTTGCCTACTACAAAGATAAAGGAAATCTGTGCTAAGTGGCTTGAAGTGCAAACCTTCATGGATGAAAATCACCCTCACACAGCTATTGCAAGCCGTGCTGGTGATTATTACACTGACAATGTTGTGAAACACTTTAGGCAAGTCATAAAGGAACGAGAGGTACAGGCCACTATGGACAGATATCTTGTGCGAAAGAAGTCCAGTGACTCTGAAGCTGGCCCTAGTGGCATTAAAAGAAGAAGGGAAGTAACCCCAGAAAAGGACTTACTACTTCAAGTCCTAATGGAAGGGGATTCCCCTTCTAAACACTAACACACTCTCTCCCCTCCTCCCATCCCATCAATCATCACCAGATCTTCAATAAAAGTAAGTGTCATTTAATTGTGCATGCCTTTTTCAGTTTGTGTGTATTAAAATTAACATTTCATGTGGTAAAAAAAATTTTTTTTCATACTTTTGGGCGTCTTGCACGGATTAATTTTATTTCCATTATTTCTTATGGGGAAAATTCATTCGCATAACGATTATTTCGCATAACGATGAGCCCTCTTGCACGGATTAAAATCGTTAACCGGGGGTCCACTGTATTAAGAATGGTAGGTAGTTTGAAAAGGTTGTACATGAAAGGCCTCGTCATGGACCAGGCCGTGGGGGCGTTGATCCCTGCAACATCTCCCAGGTATATACAGAGCTTCAAGATCAGTAACAAAAGGAAAACACACAGACATTGGATGGTTGACCTCAGGTGGTAGAACTGGTGCAAGTTTTTATATTTATAGAGTAAAATTGACTACCAAAAGAAATATCAGAAAAGTTAAAAATATGATAATTGAAGTGGATTTTTCTTGTGTATTTGGTCATTGTGAAATGAAATTTTCATAACCACTAAAGTTCCTCAACTGTACATGGTACATGTATTTTCTTGAAGTATCTAAGCTATAACAAGACTAGCTGTATGACCCCTATGGGTTTAACACTTTCTCTGTTCATACATGAGCACTCTTGCAACTAATCCTACACAGACAAAACTGTTAATATTCCTGATTTAGATGCTTATTTATGGATTGTAATACAATTCTTTTTTAGAGATTTTCCAAGATTTTAATTATTCATTCCTCTAGGAACGTTTGTGAGAACTTTGTCTTTTTTCTTTTGTTCAATTTTTTTAATATTGTGTACAGTGCCCTACATAATAAGTTCTCAGCTTAAGATGGTCCAGCATTTATGTAACTTACATGAAGCTAAAGAGATTTTTGTGTTCTTTTGAAAATTCATTGTTTTTGCATGGATGCATCTGATATACTGTTCATTTTTCTCATCTGCCTGTGGTAAGTGGGTCATTATTAAGTCCTTCCAATGGGCAGATGATAAATGAACATATTCAGACCACTGAGTGGCTGGTTTATTGTGAGAGGCCAGTTGAGGAAGCACCTTTTATTATATAAATTTATTTATGAAATTCTTGGACACAGTACATTTAGAATAAAACATATTCCATGTTTCTTTGTGTAGTAACTTTGAGTGTTGCACATCTTTGGAGTTTCCTAAGGCAAAAACCTTTAACTTTTTCTGTATTTGTGATAAGTATTTCTAGAAATATGGTAACAAAATTAAAAATTAATTATATTTACAGGGAAAACCAGTTGATTTCTTTGTACTAATATTGGAAGGTCATGTGGAGGTGACTATAGGAAAAGAGAACTTGACATTTGAAAGTGGACCTTTCACATACTTCGGTATTGCAGCACTCACACAGGCCCACTCTATAGGTGTGTATCTTATATGCTTTAAGGTTTTTCATTAGCTTCACTCTTTTGGTAACTGATTGTTTTATTATTTTACTGTTTGGTTTGCATTCTTTTCTTTCTTTCAACACACCGGCCGTATCCCACCGAGGTGGGGTGGCCCAAAAGGAAAAACAAAAGTTTTTATTATCCATATTAAAAGAAACTCATAGGTAAGTTTCATACAAGGTTTGGAACTTTACCCTCCTACAAGAGGTTTTACTCAGACACCATAAATTGTTGCAGTAAATCTTGTGTATCTCTTATATAAACTATTGGCACTGAATGTCAATTTGTTTTACTTAATTTTTTCTGATTTTAATTTATTTATATGAAGGACAAGGTAAACCATAAAATTAATGAAGACAAAAGGGTGGGTGGTGCATTGAGCTATCTGTGAAGACAAAGAACATTATTCATGGAAGCAAAGAAGGGAATGTATGAGAGTATAGTGGTACCAACATGCTTATATGAGTGTGAAACATGGGTTGTGAATGCTGCAGCAAGGAGAAGGCTGGAGGCAGTGGAGATGTCGTGTCTGAGGGCAATGTGTGGTGTAAATATTATGCAGAGAATTTGTAGTGTGGAAATTAGGAGGTGTGGCATTACTAAAAGTATTATTTAGAGGACTGAGTAGGGGTTATTGAGGTGGTTTGGTCATTTAGAGAGGATGGAGCACAATAGGATGACTTGGAAGGTGTATAAGTTTATAGTGGAGGGGTAGGGGTCATCATAGGAAAGGCTGGAGGGAGGGAGTAAGATATGTTTTGTGTGCAAGGGGCTTGGACATGCAGCAGACACATGTGAACTTGTTAGATAGGAGTGAATGGAAACAAATGGCTTTTGAGACTTGACAAGCTGTTGGAGTGTGAGGAGGGTAATATTTTGTGAAGGGATTCAGGGAAACAGGCTAGCCGAAGTCTTGGAGGTAGGAAGTATAATGCTGCGCTTTACAGGAGGGGTTTGGGATATTGGCTGCTTGGAGTGACATCTAAACTGTCATATCTGGGTACCTCTGCAAAAACAGTGATTATGTGTAAATCATGGTTAAAGTGCAGAATGATGGTGAAAGCGTTTTTTTCTTTTTTGAGTTACCCTGCCTCGGTGGGAGACAGCTGACGTGTTAAAAAAAGTGATTGAAGTCACTCTCCCCTTGACTTTCTCTCCTTGGCCTGTCCTCTCTTCTCCTTCACCCTCCATGTTCCATTTTTTTCCTTCTCCTTTTCTTGATTGCTCCCTCCCCTATCTTTCTCTTTAACTTTGAATATGTAAAATCTTGATACCCCATATAGTACGTATATTAAATAAAACTAATGGAGAAGTAATCTTCATTAATGCATTTTAATTAGCTTTTTAATGTTTTTTAACAAAAACCAAGAGATAAAATGTGAATATATATGGCAAGTAATACTATTTGTCACATTGTTTCTTGCAATGGATTTTGTAGTTATATTTCTTCTTCTTTCAACATACCAGCTGCATCCCACCAGGGTGGGGTGGCCCAAAAGGAAAAACCAAGTTTCTCCTTTCAAATTTAGTAATATATACAGGAGAAGGGGTTACTAGCCCGTTGCTCCCGGCATGGCTTACGGAGAAAGAATTCTGTTCCACTTCCCCATGGAGATAAGAGGAAATAAACAAGAACAAGAACTAGAAAGAAAATAGCAGAAAACCCAGAGAGGTGTGTATATATATGCTTGTACATGTATGTGTAGTGTGACCTAGGTAAGTAGAAGTAGCAAGACATACCTGAAATCTTGCATTTTTATGAGACAGAAAAAAGGGCACCAGCAATCCTACCATCATGTAAAACAATTACAGGCTTCCGTTTTACACTCACTTGGCAGGACGGTAGTACCTCCCTGGGTGGTTGCTGTTTACCAACCTACTACCTAGGGTAGTTATATTTATTAGTGAAAAACATATGGCTAGTACTGGGTTGGCTTAGGCAGCCCAGTGAGATTTGGATCCTAATCTCCCATTTGATATGTAATGCTGGGTTCACATCAATCAAATTTTCATTATATTGCCTCCTGTCAGAACACCCTTGTGTTATACAAGGGGCATGTGTATGTCTTTATTATGCAACCTTCAGCGTGTAATTTTATCATTTATTGTAGTATTGTTTCTCATAGAGAGTGTTCACATCAAAAAGCTCATTCTTTAAACTAATTTTCAGGAGAATCCCCATCTGCATCCACTCAGCTCAGCAAAGGAAGTATGCCAGGCAGTATACAATCTCTGGAGTCAACAAAGTTTTCTTTCACCCCTGATTATTCTGTTCGTGCTATTACAGAGGTAGGGGATTTATAATGACATCTTTTTAAAAAATTCATTACCTTTGCTGTTTTATAGATGTCTGCACATGGCTCAGTACAGCATGTACAGGCATACCTCGCTAATACGGTGTGTTACGTTCCAGACCACCGCCATAAAGCCAATATCACCTTAAAGCAAATCACAGCCTTTTTTCACTTGTCAGTGCATGTAAAAGCCTGAAAACATGTTTTCACTAACATTTATTAAGTTTGCAATAGCCCTATGCCTGAAAAAAGATGCAAAAGTAAAAATAATAAAAAATGAAGGTGGTGTGTTAATGTTTCAGTTTTATAACTGTAGTGTAAGTGCACCTCTGGCAAGACAGTGATGGAGTGAATGATGGTGAAAGTTTTTCTTTTTTGGGTCACCCTGCCTTGGTGGGAAATGGCCGATGTGTTAATATATGAATAAAAAAAATGTTGCAATACTGTATTGCTAACCTGATGTTAATGTCACTACTGAAAAAAATAATCATGAGTATAATTGAAAAGAATGATATGAGCGAAGTGCTCTAAAGTGAAGCGCCATATTAACAAGGTATGCATGTATTATACTGTACAGTCATGTGCATGTGCTCCAAATGTTATGATGCATTTGCATAAAAAGATCTCATAATATTGTTTCTGTACGTTAAATTTGCGCAAAAAGTGTGCCTTGATAGCATGTTTTAAATAGAGCTCTATTCACATTAATTTTCAGTAAATATAACTATTCAGGTTTAAATACATACATCATAAAGTTTTAAAAAAGGTGGCTCAGGCATGGAAAATATTTGTTTGGAGATTTCTGTGGCCTGAGGAAAGCTGGTTGCTGACTCTGGCTCAGTATAGCATGAGCTGTAGTGGCCCGATAAACCTCATCAGATGAGTGTAGATAAATGGTTCAGAGAACTGACAAGCCATCAGCTGATAAACATAAACAGACTTCTCACAGTTGTCTACCACTCAGTAGTTGCATAACCATCTCCAAACACTTCTCTGTGTTATAGACATCAAGAGACTAAGGAATTTAAGGCAGGATAAAGTTTTTCCTTATCACTATTAGAAACAAGAAACTTGTATAGTGAAATTTATGAAAGACGTCAGTTAATAAAACAGATGATCCATAGCAGTTTACTGCTCAGGGGTGTATCACCATTTCCAGCCACTTCTGCACCAACAAGTAAAGAATTTAAAGTAAGGTAAAATTCTTTCTTGTTACTTTTTAGCATATTTTACACTGATTTGAATGTGGGGTTAAATGTATTATAGTGGAAGCAGCATATTAATCTTTCTAATTTTCTCTGGAAAGAAAGCAATGCCCATTTTCTCTGAAAGGAATATATGGTATGTTGTGTCAAACACCAGCTTTCCCCAGGCCTTACCTAAGTGTATTTAATAAGTTTTTATTTGAATTTTGGGTACAGACACAGAATATCATGTAGAGAATTTGGAGTGTAGAAAGTAAAAGGGGTGTGGAGTGACCAAGGGTACAAGTCATAAAGTTGAGGAGGGGTTGTTGAGGTGGTTTGGGCATGTAGAGAGGATGGATAGGGATAGGTTGATGCAGAAGGTGTATAAATCTGGGATGGAAGGTAGAAGGGAAAGGGTCACCCCAGGACTGGTTGGAGGGAAGTGTTTTTTAATGGACCTCATATTGAGTGTGAGCAGAGTAACTTTTATGAAGGAATTCAGAGAAACTAATTAGCTAAACTTTAGTCCTGGTGGTATGAAGTGTAGTGCCTTCACACTGAAGAAGGGGGGTGGGAATGTTGCAGTCAGAAAGGTGATCTGACTGTAACGTCAGCACACATCTGGAAAGATGGCGATTTTATGAATGTTGGTGAGTGTGTTTTCTTTGGGTCACTCTGTCTTGGTAAGAGACAGCTGTTGAGTTTAAAAAAAAAAAAAAGGAAAAAAAAAAAATATATTTTTAGAGCAACAAACTACGACTTCTGCAGTGTATGGTGCCAAAAGCTTGATTATTTTTGATGAAATAAGAAATTAAAATAAAAATGTTTGCCTTTTTTTATGTAACTGTCTAGAACCTAACTATTTTTCCCAAAAAAATTTAGTTTCAGGAATGTAACCCATGTATTATATGATAATTCACTGTATACTTATTCAGTCATGAGATTTCATGGCATCCTGCACAATAGGCCATGGCATTCAGAACAGTGGTTTATGATGCTCTTTAAAAAAACAATTTACACAATATTTTGTATTGTTTCTAAAAGGGTTAAAGTGGGGAAAGTTGGTACAGTGATTGATAGATATGAAAATGTTAGTTTATTGAAATCAACAAAGGCTTAGTGATTTAAAACAGTGATATAATGGGAAATATTCGTGATGAAAAAATTAGAAAGGAAGTAGTAAAGGTCAGGGTTACCTTCATGAACATGACCTTTGAATACAAATGTGTCATGGGAAAAGGATAATACTTTAGGTGGAAGCAAATATAAGTATTATAATTGCTGATGTAGGGCAGAGAAAGGCAACAAGATTCTGGGAAGAAATTTTGACAGAAGAAATTGAAAGATTGAACCTGATTACCTCTCATCCCTAAATGATTTTATCTGTACTTCCTCAGGGAATTTGGCCCTTTCTTTGTGTATGATTTTTCCATTGCTTGTTCTGGTATATACCTCTAACTGGTAACCTCTTTACTAAAATGCACAGTGAACTGTGCTTCCAACCAGGCAACATCAACAGCTTTCAATTCTCAAGTGTTCATACCTGCTCATGAAGACCTGCTAAGGAGTGGTTAATGAAGTTGTTTGGTTATTTACAAAGGATCAAGAAGAATAGGATGACCAAGGAGGTATATAAATCTAGAGTAAATTAAGAAGGAATAGGTGTTGTGCTAGGAAGAGTTGGAGGGAGGCTGTGATGAAGGTTCAGAATGGTAAGACTTGAGCATTCATCAGGTGTGTGTGTGGTACAACAGGAGTGAGTGGAGATAAGTGATTTTTAAGATTTGACATAGTATTGGAGTGTGAGCAAGATAACATTTATGAAGGGAGTCAGGGAAAAGTGGTTAGCTGGACTTGAATTATGGAGGTAGAAAGTACAGTGCATGCATATTGAAGAAAGGGGTTGGGGATGTTGTAGTTAAGGATTCATTTGAATCTTGATATTTGTACACTTCTTGTAAAACAGCTGTTGAATAAATGATGATGAATGTTTACTGTTTTGGGTCATCTTACTATGGTGGATGACAGCCAGTGTGTTAAAAATAAATGTCTTTTATTTTTTAACAGGTGATGTACTTGAAAATTCGAAATACTCATTACATTGCTGCTCGTCGTGCTTACCTCCTAGAACAAGCACAGAGGGAACCACACCCGGAAGAAAATTTTGAGAAAGAGATGGCTAAGGTTAGTACAGTACAGTAAGGTTAGTACATTTTTATGCAGGAGAGGTTTGGGATATTTGCTGTTTGGAGTGACATCTGAGTTGTCATATATGCATGTCTCTGCAGAGACAGTGATTATGTGTGAATGATGGTGAAATTGTTTCTTTTTTGGGTCACCCTGCCTCGGTGTGAGACGGCTAGTGTGTTAAAAGAAATTTACGTATGGGCAAAGTGTTATATTTTTCTTTACAATACTGCCGTAATTATGAAGCTAGTCTGTATCTGCTGTTGTCTCCATAGAAGTGTTCTCATAGGGAAGGTAAAATGGACACCCTGCCTTCCTTTGATTCTTTAATTTTTTGCATATAATATGATGATAAAATTCAACCTCAGTTAAACCATTTCACTGTTTAAATTTATTGTCCTTTTTCCTTTAAATTCCTTGTGCATTTTCAGTTTTCATGTTATTTATCATGTAAAGTAGTTAATGAATTTGACACAAACTGGTTTCAGAATTACATCAGAAAGATAAAGATAAGAAACTGGAAAAGATTAGTGAACGTAGGTAGGAACACAAATGTGTAGTGAATACATATATTACTTGAGGAAGCTTCTCAGCGAAGTTGATACATTGGGAGAGTATAAATTTTGTATTACATTATAGATAACTTTTCTCTTTAAGGGAAAGCTTTGATGCTGATTAAGGACTCCTTATCCAAGGAATTAGAGCTACCATATCCTTCCTTTGGATCTAACCTGATTACCTTCCATTCCCTAGGTGTTGTATGACCCTTATTGGTTTAGTGCTTCCTCATAAATATATGAACAATGTAGATGTCATGTAATATATCTTGTGGCAGATCCTGATTGAGGACGATGGTTCAAGTTCACCAACTTGGGAGAACACTCCTCTTACTGCTCTCGACTCTAAGGTAAATTTATTGTACTCAGCACAGGGTTAATGAATTTCATAAAGCCATGATTTGTTTTTGTAATGATCTTAATTAGGCCGCTTGTTGACACCAGTATTACATGTTATGTTGCAACAAAAATTGTTTTTAGATAAACACCCAAAGAATGTATGGATATTGAATATAATTTTTTGCTTTACTATTTGCTAATGACCACATATTCATTTTCTAAATCTCAAGAGGAGATGAGATATATACAAGCTGGGCTGTATAATTTTTATGGATGAAATGTAAATAGTTTTTGTCTTAATGTAATTTTGAGCATGTTTATATCTTCATTTGCTGTTTATAGTTATTAGTTTATTACCCTGTGCTGCCTTGCTTTTCACCCCATAGTTAAAAATACAATTTCTTAACAAAGTTTGAAGTTGAACTAAATCTGATAATGTTAGATATTAATTTTTACATAGTCATTATTCAGAAACTTTTGATATCCAAAATTCTGCTAAGGAATGAAACTTTTTTTTTTTTTAGAAATTTTTGATAGCTGAAATACTATTAAGAAATGAGACAGTTTATCTTGATCACAAATATACCGATGACAAAACAGAGTGTGGGTTTTTGTGCAGTCTTTGTTCATCTTGCCAGTCATCTGAAGTACTTTATATATCATGTCTCTGTCTCCTTTAGATGTAAATAAGTTGGAGGGTAATCTGATTGTGATGTCATCACACTTTTGGAAAGATGGCAAATGTGTTTTCTTCTTTGGGTTGTAACAAGAAAAGTTTTTTTTAACTTGGTATAGTTCTAGTTTTCAGTTGTTGCCTTGTTTCTTGGCTCTGGTTAGTTAGTGGTAAACCTCTGTATTTTCTCTATATTATGTGTGGTCTTGTGCTGTATACTCAGAGATTGATCTCAGTATGTGGTGAAGTGTGACTTTGAGTCTTTGTTTAAATTTATGAAATTCAACTTTGTTTGCTAGTGTAGTTGATGCTGCTGACTGAAGAACCTCAATGTCAGTGAGCTATACTGCTTAACTTTCTTGGGTTATCCTGGTTATTAACCCTCAAGGGTTACTAATCTGAATGAAGTCATTGTCTTCTAGGGTACTATTTCCTATAGGTCAACCTCCAACATTTTGCCACAATTTGTTTTAATATACAATAGTATATGGGATAAAGATAGAAATGTTAAAAGCAGGTGGGGATATAGTTTTGGAGTGGTTGGTGCAATTATTTAATAAATGTATGGAAGAGGGTAAGGTACCTAGGGATTGGCAGAGAGCATGCATGGTTCCTTTGTATAAAGGCAAAGGGGACAAAAGAGAGTGCAAAAATTATAGGGGAATAAGCCTGTTGAGTATACGTGGTAAAGTGTATGGTAGAGTTATTATTGAAAGAAGAGTAAGATGGAGAATAGGATAGCAGATGAACAAGGAGGCTTTAGGAAAGGTAGGGGGTGTGTGGACCAGGTGTTTACAGTGAAACATATAAGTGAACAGTATTTAGATAAGGCTAAAGAGGTCTTTGTGGCATTTATGGATTTGGAAAAGGCGTATGACAGGGTGGATAGGGGGGCAATGTGGCAGATGTTGCAGGTGTATGGTGTAGGAGGTAGGTTACTGAAAGCAGTGAAGAGTTTTTACGAGGATAGTGAGGCTCAAGTTAGAGTATGTAGGAAAGAGGGAAATTATTTCCCAGTAAAAGTAGGCCTTAGACAAGGATGTGTGATGTCACCGTGGTTGTTTAATATATTTATAGATGGGGTTGTAAGAGAAGTAAATGCGAGGGTCTTGGCAAGAGGCTTGGAGTTAAAAGATAAAGAATCACACATAAAGTGGGAGTTGTCACAGTTGCTCTTTGCTGATGACACTGTGCTCTTGGGAGATTCTGAAGAGAAGTTGCAGAGATTGGTGGATGAATTTGGTAGGGTGTGCAAAAGAAGAAAATTAAAAGTGAATACAGGAAAGAGTAAGGTAATGAGGATAACAAAAAGATTAGGTGATGAAAGATTGGATATCAGATTAGAGGGAGAGAGTATGGAGGAGGTGAATGTATTCAGATATTTGGGAGTGGACGTGTCAGCGGATGGGTCTATGAAACATGAGGTGAATCATAGAATTGATGAGGGGAAAAGGGTGAGTGGTGCACTTAGGAGTCTGTGGAGGCAAAGAACTTTGTCCTTGGAGGCAGAGGGGAATGTATGAGAGTATAGTTTTTACCAACGCTCTTATATGGGTGTGAAGCATGGGTGATGAATGTTGCAGCAAGGAGAAGGCTGGAGGCAGTGGAGATGTCATGTCTGAGGGCAATGTGTGGTGCGAATATAATGCAGAGAATTCGTAGTTTGGAAGTTAGGAGGAGGTGCGGGATTACCAAAACTGTTGTCCAGAGGGCTGAGGAAGGGTTGTTAAGGTGGTTCAGACATGTAGAGAGAATGGAGCGAAACAGAGCGACTTCAAGAGTGTATCAGTCTGTAGTGGAAGGAAGGCGGGGTAGGGGTCGGCCTAGGAAAGGTTGGAGGGAGGGGGTAAAGGAGGTTTTGTGTGCGAGGGGCTTGGACTTCCAGCAGGCATGCGTGAGCGTGTTTGATAGGAGTGAATGGAGACAAATGGTTTTTAATACTTGACGTGCTGTTGGAGTGTGAGCAAAGTAACATTTATGAAGGGGTTCAGGGAAACCGGCAGGCCGGACTTGAGTCCTGGAGATGGAAAGTACAGTGCCTGCACTCTGAAGGAGGGGTGATAAGATAAAATAAGATTTCGTTCGGATTTTTAACCCCGGGGGGTTAGCCACCCAGGATAACCCAAGAAAGTCAGTGCGTCATCGAGGACTGTCTAACTTATTTCCATTGGGGTCCTTAATCTTGTCCCCCAGGATGCGATCCACACCAGTCGACTAACACCCAGGTACCTATTTGCTGCTAGGTGAACAGGACAACAGGTGTAAGGAAACGTGTCGAAATGTTTCCACCCGCCGGGAATCGAACCCGGGCCCTTCGTGTGTGAAGTGGGAGCTTTAGCCACCAGGCCACCGGGTGTTAATGTTGCAGTTTAAAAACTGTAGTGTAAAGCACCCTTCTGGCAAGACAGTGATGGAGTGAATGATGGTGAAAGTTTTTCTTTTTCGGGCCACCCTGCCTTGGTGGGAATCGGCCAGTATGATAATAAATAATAAATAAATAGTATATCTTATTCATTTGTTGACCCTATATTTTGAGACATTAGAACATTAAAGTATTGTACTGGGCACTATCCTGACTTGCATATTTTCTTGATTTTTAGGGTAGGAAAATTTAAAAATAAGCAGAATAAAAAAATGGTTTTGACACTAGTAAAATAATGCTGTGGTGCTGAGAGTAACAAGGAAATGTTCACATCTGTCTGAGTGATAGTCACTGTGCATGCCATTGCAGGAGTAGTATATTCTTTCCACTACTGGTATGGTACAGTCACAGTGGTTTGCTTCACTTTATATCCACCCTTTTAGGTTTGACTTTTTTTTTTTTTCATGCATTGCTTGGAGGTAGGACTGTCTTAGATATGTTGGCAACACCAGGTAATTACTGCAGAGTGCATAGATTTTGATACACAATGTTACCCTGTTACCCAGCAGGCAATAAAACAAATACTGTTACCTGGTGGAGGTGAGACTATAGAATATAACAGAAACCAGAGAATTGACAGAATGATGTAGGGAAAAGATACTTGTCAAGGGATGTGGAATATCCATCTTAAAAGAACTATAATTTTCAACCAGAAGTGCAAAGGCACAGTTTACAGGGAAATAGATTAACCCTTAAACTGTCCAAACGTAGATCTACGTTCACGTGCGTAGCGCTCCAACCTTTATTTTTCCCATTTGAAAGCATGTAAAAAAAAAAGTAGATGTACATTCGGAGCCCCCCGCACGTGGACATACATCTACGTTTGGACAGTTTAAGGGTTAAAGACACTTTGTTGGAGAATCCATGGTTCAGTCATTAGTGTAAGCAGACAAAATCCAGGATCCCAAAAGATGGAAGCAATACAGAATGAACCTAAGTCCCAGGAATAGGAAAGTTAACAGAAAAGTCAGAAGTAATGGAAAAAAAAATTGAAATCGGCATAAACAAAGAAATTCAGAAACAAAGCTTCTTTACAGTCACATTAGAAGGAAAATGACAATAAAGGATCAGGTGAAAATACTGAGAAAAGTTGGGAACCTTCGCAAGGAGGTTTGCAACAAGCTCAGCAGAAATTAATGTTGGCCAGTAAGAGAGATAAAAGTGAATAAACAAAATACAGCTACAGTTATTTAGCAGTGAAATGACCAGCGAGAAAGTTAGAGGAGGCCTTATGAAATCTGATATTTGTACATCAAAGGCACCGGAACCAAATGCAACATCACCATGAATACTAAGAGAAATAGTCAAAATTCTTTGTAAGCCACTAGAACTAATCTCTAACATATCATTAGCAACAGATGAATGAAAGATGTAATACTTAAGAAAGGCGAGATTCAGAAAGTTTGAATTAAAGACCAGGGTCCCTAATGAATGCAGTGTATAGATTGCTGGAAAAGCTTATGAACCTTGTGGAGATGTAACATTAACAGAGGTCATTCAGAGAGAAATGGTTGGAGTGCATATTCTGAGACTAGGAAGGCTTTTGATGCACCCCATAGAATACTTTTAGTTAAGTAGAAAAAACAAAAGAAATCAGTCACCATAAGGTATGAGGCATCAGGATGGAAGTGTTTATAATGGGGTTCCTTAAGGATCACTTTTTGGACCTTACTTGGCAGGACGGTAGTACCTCCCTGGGTGGTTGCTGTCTACCAGCCTATTACCTAGGATTCAGGAACCTGTCCACACAAAAAAATTGGCCAAAATGCTTCATTTCGTATGTACCTGGCTTCTTGAATATATGTCTCTAAAACTGACCCCTCACCTAATAAAACAGTGAATTTTGAGAAGGTGCAAGACTGGTGCTTGAATGATAAAGAATGTGAAAATTAGGTTTTATGTCTCTGGTAGAATGA